AAGTTAGCCATTAAGTCACATTTCCACAAGTATCCTTGGATCACAGGGAAGATTTACACTAAGTTCCCTTATGACTTTAAACGAAATATATAAATTCCCGGTAGTTTAGAAAACATACTTAAAACAAAAAATAAGTAATGTAGTCGATTGCTATAGCAAATCCAACTTCGCTCCATCGACAATTACACCACAGAATGTGATATGGGAAGATTCCATGCCGTCCTTGAAATTCCCATCTTCTCTGTGACCCAAGGAACAGCCAGTAACGGAGTCATAGCACCAAGAAAATTATATAATTTTAAATATCCAAAACGTTTTTAAAACAACGATTACTGCATAAATAAAATTAACGTGAAGAAAAACTGGAATGAACCCAAAGTTGGAACTCAATTTGCCTCTATTTAAACTCTCTTGAGTACGATTTTATAAAAGTTAGCGCATTTTTTAAAGTAAAATAATTTAAAATTTGTTTGACCTTGTTTTGCAACTTGGTCATATTAGTAAGAAAACGTAGAGGAACGCACCTAGTCCAGAGTCCATAGTAAGCATGATAATTTTTAAAGTCGGGCCGTGGACGTGGTACATTCCCAGACGTTTAGCCGGCATCGTCAGTGAGCAATGCCAGTCTTAGCATAACATGACAATTCGTCAGAGATGAGTGAAGTCGATCCCTTGACTAATCGTGGTATCTCTCATTCCGCCCGGGGCTAATCACCAATCCTATATCCTCGTATCGCGCCTTCACTATCATAATTTTTACTTGTCTATTTAAATGCGGTATGGTGTGCCCTTTAAGCGGCTGTCATGGCAACTCTTCACACTACACACTGTCTTTCTCACCCCCTCATCCAACTTCACCCTTTTGCTAGGAATGTTGATCAAAGCCTGCTATATTGTTACGCAGTACTCCTCCCATAGGTCTTATCAGAGTCTCCCTCTTGCACCGAGAATCCATCCGCTATCTCCTTGCTTCAAGTATTTCACTCGAGCCTTGCCACCCCATCTGTACTACTCGAGGCGTTATTTCTCACACTCAGTCTGGGAGACTAACTTGAGGCTAAAGTCCCTGAAGCAAAGGATTGACTATGAAAATTACTCGGGGGCTCGAGCATTAAGTTAGTCTCCCAGACACAGAGTGTGGGTAATAACGCCTCGATTAGCACAGATGGTGTGGCAGGGGTCGAGTGAAATACTTGAACTAGGGCGATAGCAGACGGATCCAACGAAGCAAGAGGGAGACTTTGATAAGACCTATGGAAGGAGGATTGTGTAACAATATGGCAGACTCTGATCCACATTCCCAGCACAAGAGTGAAGGGGGGTGAGGAGGTGAGAAAGCCAAAATAGAGTGTGGAGAGTTGCCATGACATCCGCTTAAAACAGCACGCCACACCACATTTAAATAAGCAAGTAAAAATTGTGATAGCGTAGGAGAGATATGAGGATAAAGAATTGATTATTAGCCCATGTGGGAGGGAGAGATAACACGATTGTTTAGAAGACAATTGGTCGAAGGATTGACTTCACTTGTCTCTGGCGCGTTGTAGTGTGGCGCTCAGATTGGCAATGCTCACTGACGATCCTGGCGAAACGTCTGGGAATGTATCACGTCCACGGCCCGACTCTAGAAATTATCATGCATGCAAATGACTCCGGACTGAATTCCTCTGGGTCTTTCTACCAATATTAGCAAATTGCAAAAATAAGGTAAAACAACTTCTATAGAACGAAAGGAGACTGCGACCACATAAAAGGACACTCCATCTTGGCCTTCATACCTTCGGTTAAAATACTTTAATTTCTGATTATGTACACTTGAATTCGTATGGACTAGTCGCTTAGCATCTGGACTGTAAGGAGACGGAGGCTCACCGAACGGAGACGACCTCTTCGCGCAATTGGAGCGCCAGAAGTTCAAGGTCTTCACGAGCTTCAGGAAGCTGGATATATTCAGCACTCAGCTCAGTGGCCGCCTTATCTCTTCGGCCCATTAATGCAGTGTAATGGGCTTCCAACTTAGCTAATTGGCGACGAGCCACTTCACGTTCCTGTTTAAGAGTGGCAAGCTCATGTTGCACGTTGCATTGAAAGTCCTGTAAGTGCAAGATCCAATAAGGGATATGGGATTTTTTTAAGTAAACAAAAATATAGACGTCTAGAAAGTTTGTGAGCATTAGCATGAGATAAAAGATAAAATACAAGACTAGACAAAACATTTTGATTTGCCCTATACCTCTTTATGCGATAGTACCGGTAAAATTTCATCCTCAAATACAGAATGCGTCGAATATTGATGGGATAAATGTTACCATATTGGCCAAAGCTGAGCCATCATACTCCAGCAAACCAAAAAACTTTTATACTTATGGAGGTTTCGAAATTCTAGTAGATCTTTAACAATAACTAGTCACGAGTAGAGGTTCTAGTCTTGAATCCAAAAAGATGTTATCATTCAGGACACCAGATTAGATTGCACCTTAGTCTCATCAAAACTCTTTATGGGATTCGAATTCAAGTCGTGCGTCTTAAGACGTGGCTGCATGGCGAAGCAAAAATAGTGACGGTTTCGAATCCTACTAAAGTGCCGAGCAAATACATGTGAAGTCAAAACTGTTGTCCACCTTGAATGAGAAAGTCTTGGAGGCAAAGAATAGTGAAACTTAATGGTATCGTGGGGATTTTTTTATCATTGGAAATAAACCGATAATTTAGCCTTCCGTCTTATAGAGCGATCTCACATTATTATATTTGAAATTTTTATAATAAATTGAGTATTCCGAAACTAAAGCCCTATATAGTGACTAGTGAAGTGGCTTAACTTTCTATTTTAAAAAGAAATTAAATTAAATCATAAGACTAAAACCTAAACTTCTATCCATCATGTCAATTAAAAACACACTGAGTTGAAAACAGACAATATTGATGGATCAAATATGAAGCTAAAACTCTATTCGGTTGTGATTTTACGAGAAATTACTAAGTTTAGTAATAGCATATACTAATTTTACTTTACTGTATGATTTGTCACTCCCTGAAACACCATTGTCAGATGTCGATTAACTGCAAAACGATTGAGCGTTTACAATAGATTAAGTGAAAGTATGAGAA